TTAAGAGTAGGCATCATGCGTAAAATGTGAGCTTGGAAATCAGAACCACCAGCATTCAATTTTCAGCTTTACTACAGATACTGTATATGTCTTCCATTTCGTGGGACACCATCACATGATACCCACCTCATGGTAAACACTCTGCCACTGGTAGCTGTTTTGGTTTAAATTTAAAATACCCCTCAAAAGTCTCATGTGGAGATTTTGGAGGATGATTTGATCATGGGGCACTCTAGTCATTAGGATATTAAGCCATTGATGAGTTCATAGTTGAATGTACTGTTAGGAGGTGGAGTCCAGCTGGAGGAAGTAAACCACTGGGAGCACACCTTTGGAGGGCATTATTTCTCTCTGGCTCCTCCCTTCTCACTTTGCTTCTGAGTTGCCATGGGCTGAGCAGCCTTCCTCTGGTTTACCCTTTTACTATGCTCTTTGTACCTTGGAGCCAGCCAATCATGGAATGAATCCCCTGAAACCATGAGCCCAAATAAAACTCTTTTCCTTTAAGTTGCAACCTTTTGATATTCTTTGATAAGAAAGTGATTAATACAGTAGCTGTTAGAAGAACCATTTTTTAACAAAGTCAAATCACTCTGCCTGTTGGAAAGACTCATGATGTGTGTAATACATAGTTAAGGACCACTGTCATGGACATGAGACTTCATTTTTATCAGCAACAACTACCACTGATTTATAAGAACCAAACTACAAGTAGTTATATTTATCCATGTTGTAATGTCAAAATCATACTTAATTTTGTAAACTGAATTTATTATTAATTTGAATGCCAGTTATTGTCAGTTATAAAAAATTTTGACAGGCAAAGTTAACCAAGGATAGATCAATCATTTCAGTAGCAATGAGGGCCAATTACCATGACAGGGCAGACAACTACTTGGCTACAATTTTGCAGAGGTTATTGGAAGACTGGATTTGCACTTTAAGTTGCCTGAAGTTTCAAGTGTATACAGCCTCTGGAATTCCAAAAAAGCTTTTGAGGTCACTAAGCCATCTATACAGCTGATCATTTTTGCTTCAAGTTTCTTTGGCCTAATAGGTTACCCTCACATAAGTGAGAATCCACAAGTAGGCATTAGAAGTAATGTCCCTAATTCATGAACATTCTGGTTTCCGTGAGTGGATTTGCCTGAAACTCATATCCTGTGTGTAGTTTTATTCATGTGGTACACTGGAAAAGATTTCTCCCTTGATCCTCAAAGGAGAAAGATGCTTCCTAAGCTCATCTCTTTGACTACAAAGTCAAAGCAAAGAGGCTACAGTGCTATTTGCAGACAAGAATGAGTATTTGTGGAAATAAACTGCCAACTCTCCAAATTAATAAAAATTTCCATGCAAGTAGGAAAGAGGAGGACAAATGATGGCCAGGCCTGTGCATTACTGAATCTCTGCCAATTCTGGACCTCAGAGAACTGTTCACTTCGATGCTTCATTTGGATTGCTTGAGTATTGACACAGTCTTGTAAACTGAGACCCTTCAAAGACTGAAAAGAAAAAGAAGTTTAGAAGAACGTTTATATAGAGGTTTCCCTTGGGTGCCAGCTGCTCAACTGAATTAACATCAAACCTTTCCACTGAAATGGGCCGTGAGAGTTGATTTTCCTGGCCTCACACAATGACCGCAGTCAATATGGATGCTGCCTGGTTTTCATTTGGAAGAAATGTACATTTAATCCCACCTCCAACCGTATCTACTTGGCTCTATCATATTGAGGCCTACGTATTTGAAAAATACCTTCACTGTTCTTTCCCCTGGTGACTTGACTGTAGCATTTACCTCTCTCAATCTTTCTTCTATCTCAAAGCTCCCACCCTTGAGTTCAGGCTGGTATCAATAAGGAATTTGGAGGGGGAAGCTGAGTGAACTAATTCACACTAAAAAGTAAATAACTGACACATCCTCAGTGCAATCATAGCACTTTATATAAATTCAAGTATCTCATTTACACAGTAGGGTGAAAAATTTAATCTCTGGAATGGCAGATTTCATTCCTTAAGACCACAGGCAACAAAGAAGTTTTTAATGTACCTAGAAAGGAATTATTTGAGGGTAGGAAATGTTGTACTGGGAATAGCAGATGATACTATAAATTCCCAAATATGTAGTTAGAATCAATGAGATTTGTGGGAACCTAGAGAATGGATACACCGGAAAGACCTGCTGACTCCAGAGAGCCCCTCCATGCCCATTGTCAGTCTCAGGGTCTCTGGGGCTTCAGGGATCTCAGGAATGGGCCTCCCACCATTGCTGATGCTGCATTCTCTGATGTCAGGGCCATACCCTTGGACTTCTCGGCTTGCAGAACTGTGCACTAAATATACCCCTCTTCTTTTGAAATTGCATGGCTGTGGCATTCAGTTATCCTAACCTGGACACCACACAAAAGAGTACTTTAGAGACCAGGCAATCTTCTATGTCAAACACTGTGGATAGATGCAATGAGATGAAACCTGACAAATTTCCACTGGAGAATGGCCAGCAGCCCTAATGAACTCTTCAGAAGAGTGATAAGAGAATGATTATAACATGCCAGGCAAGATAGTATTTATGTATTTAATTCCATGGAAGCCTTCCTGTCATTGTCATAGATGAGAGAACTGAGGCACACAGGGTGTTAAATCCTGCTGGGACTGGAAGGCACCCAATATAGGTCCTGTAGACTCTGACATACCCTTCAGCACTACTCTAAGCTTTGAACCTGTGCCCTGTCAAACTTACGGATGGTGTTAAGAGAGCGGAGAGGAGCCCACTGGCATCTTAGGACAAGGCTGAGTAAAGGGGACAATGGGAGCGGAGAGTAGGTGACAACTTTGCCTTCCTGGAGAGGAATACTGATGAAGACAGCCACAGAAGCTGGAGTAGACAGAGGCCCTTTGCTTTTTCCACAACATTTTATGATGATTGACATTAATTCAGAATCTTTATGGCGGGGCTGGGAATTTAGCTCAGCGGCATAAGCACCTGCCTTGCAAGCAGGCGGTTGTGAGTTCGATCCTTGGTACCGATAAAAATGAAAAAGACGAAAAAAAAAAAAAAAAGAAAGCTTCAGAATCTTTATGGCACGCTAAATGTTATTGTAGGAAAATAAGGCACTGAATCACCATTGGTAACGATGACAGAATGAGGTTTGGTTCTTCTGTGGAAGTGTTGTGCTGTGAACTCACCAAAATTCATCTATGAACTTAGAAGAACTTAGCTTGAAGTCTGTGTGATGAGCACAGGAAACTTACATTTCAATTTTTTTCATTTCAGTTGTTTTAATTAGATGAACTTTTGGGGGATCTGGGTTTCTGAGTCCATGAACAGAATTTAGGGGTTTGACAGTGCTGGCTTGGAGGAGGCTGTGGAGAGGAAAGATTACTCCCAGTCAGCCATGCTGGATGGTCAGGGCACCAAAGAGGCCTTGCAGTCATTTTTGGGGTGCGAAGAGGGGTACAGTGGTATACAGAGGAGATTCTCCTACCCTGATGCCTGCTGATTCAGTCTCATGGCTTCTTCTCTTTGGACACTGTCCTTCCTTGGCAGCTGCTCTATAAACTCTTACTAGTAAACTCTGAGTACCATTTACCTGGGGTTGGTGCATGGTGGCGGGAGCCTGGATTCTTGCTCATAGATAGGAAGACAATTAGCTTTTCCCAAGGCTTAGCTGGACAGATGGCAGAGCTGGGCTTCTATCTGAAATCTATAATGACTTTGCTGATACCCACTCCACCCTGGCAGGGTAGAGGCAGCCCTGCTAGATCCAAATGCTGGCTTCATTCTTTCTTTAGAGAGATTTTCTACCTTTGCTCCTTGGGAATCAAGGGAAAGTAGGGCCAGCTAGCACTCAGTGGTCACTTAGACCTTACAGGCTGAAAGAGGGAAATCAGCTGGACAAAGCCATGCCTGTGCCCTCAGCTTCATTAAGCTGATATCCTGGGTACAGTGTATTCTCTTTGATGTATAACTCTCTAGGTATGCTAAGCAGTTTTGATAAAGTCCCATAATTTTGGAGACAAGCCACCATTCGTTGGTCTAAATCTATGGAAGATACACCACCAAGAGTGAATCCCAATGTACTCTGTGGACTTGGGGTGATGACAATATGTCAGAATAGGCTCATCATTTGTAACAAATCTACCACTCTGGTGAGGGATGTTGATAATGGAGGATGCTTTGGAGTTAGATGGGCAGAGAATGGAGAAAATCTTGCTTGCTTTGGTTTGACTCTGCTGTGGACCTAAATGAATTTAAAAATTAAAGTCTATTATAAAAGATCTCCCTGTGATCATACAGATGTTCTCTTCATAACTGTTCAACCTCAATGATATTTCTCTATCACTGTGTGACATTCTTCTAAACATGTAATGTATCTCAAATTTCCCATCCTTCAAAAAGCTTTTTTTCTGAAATGGGGGACATAGCATTCAAACATAATTTGAAATTATTTTAATTATAATAATAAGGTGACTTTAAATTACTGTATAACTGTTCAAAGTTGAGTACACAGACCGTCTTTACAGGAGTCAGAATCCGCCTAAACACAGAGCTTTTTTCAAGCTAGTGGAACCCTTCTACCAAGGCTTCTCTTCCCTCTTATCTTTGAATCCAAAGTACTGCTGTTGTCTTAAAGAGGGTCTCGACCCCTCTGTGCAAGCCTCCCAAACCAGAGTGCTTCAGTATTCCAGCACATAGAAAGAAGCATTCTACCAATTCTGTGGTCAGGACACTCGAGCTGCCAGTCCCACTCCCGTGTTGACAGAGAAAGAAGCCAAGGTTTGGAGAAATAGCAAGGCTTGCTGTCACACAGCTATATGTTTTTTTTTTTTAAGGAGAAACCAGCTCTCCTCACTATGAGAAATTAACTTTTGCTGCTGTGCCCCTAAAATAAATACTTGACTGTTCCCTGTGTACAAGTGATGAATTAATGAAAGGGGGGAAAGTTCAAGTCACCAACATCAAAGAGATGAGAACTGACATGTAAATCTGGGACATTTTGTAGGACTGAAGGCGTTTGAAGATCTAGTTTCTGAGGGTGGAGAGAACTGAAGAACTTTAAGAACATGTGAATCTCATCACATCTGAATAAGCACAATCGGGAGCTGGTGAGCAGAGGCCCGGGGGAGGCTTGCTGCCCGGCTCTGGACTGTGCCGAGTGGCCAACTGATGCTGGGTGGGAAATCCGCGGACAGTGTGGGAAGGGTCAGCCTGATTAAAATTCTTTATTTCTCCCAAAAGATAAAGATTCTATGGTAAGCTGTAAGTACTACGACTTCACAACCTCAGAATTCTACCCACCAGGTAACCAGTGTATCATAGGTAAAGTTTTTGTTGAAAGAATGCAGGAGACTTGGGCCGAACTGAGGCAAAACGATATGCTTCAGTTTAAAAACTCCCTTTTAGCTGTTACGTTAACTAAACTTCAAGTTAAAAGTTAATTTAAAATGTAGCCATCTATTAGTTTCTAAAAGATCAATAGGGACAAGACTACGGTCACTTGTTCCACCAGCAGCTCAAATTAAAACGATGTGAGAGCTATAGTTTACAAACTCAGTAAGAGTTGAGGTATGAGTTTAGACTGTTTTAACAGAAGAGTAGTTTCTAGATCAGGTCTAGATGTCATTACCTTGTACTCCCAGGTGGCTAAACCTTCCCTGGGGTATTGAAGTTCATAATTAGATGTCACATTGTCTTAGTCACTTTCTTGTAGCTGGCGCAAAATACTGTAAGAAAATACAACTTAAAGGAAGAGAGTTTTTTTTTTTTAAACACGCCATGTGATTTTTATGTAGTGATTTTTATTTATTTGCAAGTTTTCACAGCCACATACCATTCAGTTTTACTATTCATTTTGCAATAAAATATCAATATATAGTTTGGTATCAACAAGATCTTCATGCAAGATGTAGGGGGTATACACATGGAATAAAAAAACACTCCAGAAGTCAATATATATACACATTATTTACGTATTAACTATATTTAGGTGAATAGAAATGTTTTCTAAGGCAAATTTAAGAAAACAAGAAATCCCAACCTGTGGTTTCCGACCTAACTCTCAGCAAAGCACATCAGTGCACATCAGATATATGCATTTGTAACTTTGAAAATAGGCATTGCTTTATATGAAGCATTTTAAATGCTGCTTCAGGATGAATGGCTCCTACTTTGATCCCATGTGATGCCACATCAAACTACTTAACACTCTTACAGAATCCTGAAGTTATGCTAGCTTGTGTGGGTCCAGGGTCAATGCAAATGAATCTCAAATGATAACTGGGGCCCAGCAAGACAGCTAGAGGAGCTAGGAAGCCACCATTTTCCCTGTGAGGCTCTTCCTCACAACGGGCTACTGCCCTTAGTCTCTGGAAGAAACTTTGTCTTTGGCCAGAGTTAGGACTGGTAACTCCAGACTGAGCGTAGGCCCTCAGGTGAGAAGTAGGTGAGCATGGTTGAGACTCTCTGCCCCTGTAGTGGTGGGAGGGGACCGGTCCCATTTCTAGGCAGCCAGGTGGAAGCCAGGTACACAGTCAGTAGCCTACCTAGCTGGCCCAGTCAGCATGATAGCAGATGTTTTAGGGTTTATAGTGTCACAAGAAACCCGGGAATTAAGTGATTTTATATAATACTGTTTTGAGGGCAAGTTACTCAAGCTTCTGAGCACCAGGGCCTTCGGCTGATCCTGGGTAAACAGCCATCGAGGAGAGCTGGCTCACAGCCAGCTGGCTGGTGTGATGGAAGCTTCCATGGTGATGGAAGAGTCAGTACCACTTCTCTTGATACTTTCAGACAGAAAGCACCATGCTCCTAGGTTAGACTGGGATTACAACATCAGGAGAAAGGACATGGCTCATCCTTGTGTGAAATGCTGGCCCAACACTGCTGTAGCTTAATCGGAGTTGGCCCAAGGCTGGCCTGCAGTGTGGAGGCATCATGGTTGGTCTGGGTCCAGGAAGGTTGTGCATGGCAGAGGAGGGGCCAAGTTGCATGTATACCAGTCTTGGGCCTGGTATGTAGCTCAGTGGCACAGCCACCTGCCTGGCAAACCTGGGGTCCTGAGTCTGATTGTCAATACTTCTCCCGTACAAAAAAAAAAATTTAAAAAATAAAAAATCATCAATCTAATGCATGATGGAAAGATTCAACCTTGAAGCCTCTGTGGTCTGGTATGATGTAAAGCTACACCCCAAGGTCAGCCATCCTGAGGCAAAGGACCCGTGGCTGCACAGTCTCTATTTCAAGGCAGCTCATGGGAAGATTTATTTCTGCTATCAGAACAAAATACTAAGAGCATGCAGTCTGAGGTTTTCATTCCTGGACTTGGGTTTTGCACAGGAATACAGAGAACCTCTCAAAGTCTACCCCACTTCAGATTTGGGCCCCTCCACTCCACAGAAAACTCTACACGCCACACATCTTCAGCCATGGCTTGTGTCTTCCACTCACAAGGGGCGCTCACGTTTCAGATTATGTTATTACAAGAGAAAGGTAATGGACTGTTCCTAGTTCCTTGTACGTTTGGTCATTACGTAAGATAAGCACTCCCTTTGGGAGGGGCTCTTTCTTTCTCTCTTCTCCACCCCTCCTCATACATGTATTTCAGTGTACAATATATACTTGTGTCCAAGAGTTATATTTATAGCTGTATCTTGCATTACAATTTCAGGGTATAAAGAGGAATATGAAAGCTATAATCCAATATCTCTGAGAAAAAGTAGTAGCTTTTCCTTTCCTATTTTGATATAAAACAATGTCTTCTCAAATGGTCACTGACACTGTCACGGTGGGCAGGTGAGTGTCAGGACCAGGCGGTTGCCCTTGAGAATGTCCCTCCACTGCTGTAGCCACAGCAGAAAGGCTCTGGCTTCTGGTTTCTCCCACAGGAGCCAGGTGTCAACAGGAGGAAACACAGCTGCCAATGATACAAGCCACAAGCAGCACAGGCTTTCAAGGTGTGCAGTCCGGGCCACAAGTGGTTCCAGGGAACTGCAGCCTGGGGAGGTGCAGCCCCATGTGCTACCCCGAGTCAGGTCTACTCAGATCTTCAGTTTACCTGCTGAGGTAGCATGCTCTCTTTCATTTCGGCAATCCTGCTTTTCCTTATCGCCAACACATCATGGAAAGGATCCATGCTTATGCTTGCTTTGATGGGTTTCATCGACTCCTCCTTCTCCTCAGGGCATGGGGCCGAGATGCGATACGCCATGTGCCTTCCCTCCTCCACCTGGTGGCCCGCTCCTATCTTGCAGGCTTTGATGACCTTCATCCTTCTCACCCAGGTAGTCCCCAGTGACCATCTTACTTAGGCCTTTTCCTTTATGGAGGGATAGGGTGATGTCTTCTGTGGAGCTCTGTAGCAGGTCACTTTCTACTAGAAACTAAATTCCCTTTTTGGAGTCCATGTTGAATTTGTTTCTTCCCATGGCTTTCTTTTGTTCTTCTGAGTAGTTTTGTTCTCTTCCATTGAAATTAGATTATCAATATCTGTCATCATTTCTTCAGTTTTGTAGTTCAGCCTCTTATTGTCATCAGTAAGTTTCCATTTTCTTTGAGGAATGTCCAAAAGTTCTTCTCTCTCTTCTAAGGAGCAATCTTTAGGCCCAGTGCCCTGGCTGCCACTGTCTTCCTCCAACTCAAGGCCTCTGCGAGCCCTGCAAGCCCAGGCTGAAGAGCATGGGGCCAAGGCAGGGGAAGTGTCCGAGGCTGCGCAGGTGACCAAGTGACTCTTCAGTTTGTGGCCATAGTGAGCTCTCCTCCCTCGGGGCAGGCTGGCCAATTGGCTGGGAGAGGTTTCTTTTGGCTCACAATTTTAAAAGTTTCAGTCCATAGTCAGCAGGCTCAAAGGCAGAAACAGTACATGTGGTAGAAGGGCCTGGGTGGAGGAAAACTGCTCATGTCTTGGAAGCAGAGTGATAAGGAGCCAGGGCGGGAGATGTACAGTGACTGGCCACTAACCAGGCCCTGCCTCTGACAGCTCTCTCAGCTGCTGAACTCCTCAGTGAGTTATCCACTGAGCACTCTCATGATCTAGTCACTTTCCATACTCACGAGGCTTTTGGCAGACAACCCAGATCTAAACACATTTTAAGGGGAATATTAATAAGCTGGACCATGTTCACTGGGTAAGTTGATTGAGAGACTAAATGCTATAACATATTATCTCTTAAAAGAAGTCAGGCAGCTTAGCTAAAACAATACACCAAAAGTGACACCAAGAGTGATCTGAAGATACTTAGAATGTTATTGAAATTTTGCAGTGATGGTGGTATCCATAATATACCTCACCAGAAAAGCTATGAGAATGCAAAGAAACACTCCCAGTGTAAAACACCCACTCCCATCACAGAAATAGGAAATGCTCTTCCAATCATTGTTCTCCATAAACAACAGATGAAATGATCCTTAGTTCCAAGTAAAGATCATATACATGGTATGATCAAAATATACTGCATAGTGAATTTTATATTTTAAAAATGTATTAACAATAAAGGATGTATTGCCATTAATTCCCTTTCATAATATCTACTCTCTCCAGCTTTCAACACACTTCTATTGTTCTTACCACTTTCTGAAGAAGTACTTTTAAAGAGAGGGGAAATATTTTGAGAGGAATTAATAACAATGTCTTTTACTCTAATAAATTTTTACATTTAAGCATTCACCATAGTTTTTGATTAGACCATGTTTACATTATCAATCCAGATAGCCATGGCCTCAGCAAAAAATGCAAAATCTAAGAATATTTCTTCTATTGCTTCACATTATAAGAATTTTATGCAATACAATAAAACAATAAAAGCAATACATAGATGTGCTTTCCACTTTAACAAAACATTAATACCCCAGAGTGTATTATTCTCATTAAAGGTCTACATTCACTAATGGTATTACCAAACCATATTTCATACAACTTGTATATGTAAGTCTATTTTTAAAGGATTATTTTTTCTATGTGTAAATTCCCTTTATATGCTAGGCTACCAATATTACTGGGTCCTACCAGTTTACCAGGAAAGAATAATACTCTATTTTCCTGTTTGTTTGTTTCTTTGTTTGATTCTTTATTTTGTAGCACTGGGTATTGAAACCCAAGGCCTTGCACACTTTACCACTGCACTACATCCCCAGTCTCCAGTTTTCTTTGTAAAATTGGAAGATTTCATTTTCCGCAACATCTCAAAATTGTACTCAGGAGTTGTACAGAGAAAAATTAGAATCAGGACATGGAGTTTATAATATTATTTTTATGATGGTCACCCAGAGTTAACACAAGAAAATGCAGGAAATCTATCTGCAACACCAAAGACATAGAATATTTAGCCAAGGGCCTAAACCCCACAGCAATGTCCCACATGAGTCCAGATGAAAACCCAGAGCTCATGACAATGCCTCCCACGAGTCCAACTGGAGGTCCAGAGCCCACAAGAAGGACTCACACCAATCTCTTTTATGGATCCATGCTGGGAAGGCCCAAAGGTCAGGAGTGGAAACTAGGAAGTCCATGCCAGTGGGATGAAGGAACTGTGCTGGTGGGATGAGGGTTCCAAGCTGGAGCCAAGAAGTCACACTCACAACAAAGACAAGGGCTCAGGAAAAGCACCACAGCCATCCTCAGTGCAATGGAGGCTCCTCCAACAAGCACAGTCCAGTACATGCCAGGAAGCCAATGTGACGAGTTCATCCTGGAGACCAAGTGGCACAGGTGTATCCTTCTGGAGCCAGGAAGAAATGTTCGATGTGAGGACCAGAGCTTCTCCAGGAGAACCAATGGCTCAAATAGCAACTCACAGGTGAACCCACAATGCCTCAAGGCCTCAATGCAATAGCTTCTCCTTCTCCACATCTCTATTTATGCTGGAAACTTTCCTCAGGTGGGACATCGCTGTAGGATTGGCTAAATATTCTATGTCTTTGGTGTTGTGGATAGATTTCCTGCATTTTCTTGTGTTAACTCTGATTGACCATCACAAAAATAAACTCCATGTCCTGATTCTAATTATTCTCTGTACAACCCCTGACTACAACAAAAATTGGTACTGGGAGAGTGGGGTTATTGGTGTGTTGTTGCTTGGTCATGTGACGTAAGAGCCTTGGAAATTAATTTGGAAAGTTTTTGAGAGACTGACCAAAGAGACAGCCCTGTATGCTGTTTACGATTTTAGAGACTCTGGTCAGAACCTGAAAAATCAGAGTGCTGATGGAAATGCTGCCAGTTAAGATGAAGCCTGGGAGGCTTCTGTTGGGAAAGACTGCAGTGGCTGCTGGAGTCCAGGTAGTACACTGTGCTTTAGCTGAAAGTTGGTCTTCATTTTCTTTGTTTTAGAGATGTTACCTGGTGGCAGAAAAATTTCAGCACAGTCTACTGTTGGGATGGTAGCATAGTCACTTTAGAGAACTTTTGACCAGATCTACATTGGAAATTTAGAGCAAAGAGCCAGTAGAATAATTTAAAACACTTGGCCAAGAAGAAGGCTCCATTGGAAGAGTGGATTGCAAAGATGAAACAAAGGAGAACACAGTTTTTAGAAGAATAGGACAATGGAAAAATGAAGAGTACACTGGAATTACAGGAGATCCTTACATTTTAGTCTTGCCATGTGTGTAGTCAGGGGTTGTACACAGAGAACAAGTAGGATTAGGACTTGGAGTTTATAATATTTGCATAATAGTCACCGGAAGTTAACACAGGAAAATGCAGGGTTTTTATCTGGACTCATGTGGGACATTGCTGTGGGATTCAGGCCTTTGACTAAACATTTTATGTCCTTGGTGTTGCAGATAGATTTCCTGCATTTTCTTGTGTTAACTCTGGGTGACCATCATAAAAATAATATTATAAGTTCCATGTCCTGATTCTAATTGTTCTCTGCACAACCTCTGACTATAACAGGTGGTAAGAATTCTAGGGTCTGTTTCTAAGTTCTTTCAGATCACAGTAATTTTGCTGCTGAACTAGGCAGAGGAAAATTCACATGCAAAAGTCACCTTCCAGGAGACAGATAGTTTCTATTTTGTCCACACGGGTCCCCTGGTGGTATTACCTATCTTTCTATCCTGTACTGTGCAGGATTCCTAAACCTCAGGGGACCAGCGTTGTTGAGAATTTGGATGTGAGTTCCCAATGTCCCATTGCTTCCACCAACCCCACTCACTCCTACCCTAGGATTTTCATGACACCCTCACCTTGACTGGCCAACACAGCTTCCCTGAGAAGAAAGGTCAGAGAGTGACCCGCAGCCAGAAGTTGTACAAGTAAAATGAAGGCTCTCCCAAGGGCTGTATCCTTAGAAAATAATCTCAGTCTTAAAATGCAGTATAAAGACTAGTTTAAAAACAGTATTACTGAAAAATAATATATGTGTCCTTGAATTTAGATGGCATTTGATTTAAGAAGCATTAAAATGTTTTTTGAAAGCATGTCATGGGTTGGGGAAATGCATTATCTCTTAGCATCCTGCCATCTGCCACCCAGCCTCCTGTGCGTCTGCCTTTTTTGTGTAACAGTTTACCTAGCAGGCTGGGTTTGGGGGGGGAAGTAAGGAACTTGCTCTGTTTTTCTCCCACTTTGGCCTGAAACCCATTCAGCCAGCTCTCCGCTCACCAGGCTATGGGCAGATCTTGCAGAGTTCTGGTCCCCTTCAAATGTTAGAAAGGCCAATTTAATCAAATCAAACCTTCACCTTGTCATTCAACAGAAGCATCTCCCACCTGCCACCCTAGTCCGGGTTATACCTGCTCCACCTTCCTGTCCCTTCGTCACTGTCTGCTATTTCTGGCTTCTCTAGGACTAGGGCCATGCTCTGCTAATTGTGTTTTTCTCTCAATTTGTGATGCTGTCTCTCATGACCAGTATACACACTTGGACATTTCTCATGGAGCCCTTATGTAGATTTTTTAGGGATGTCACTCCCTGTCATCACTCCCTGCCCTTCAGTCCCCAACACAAAACTTCACAATCGGTGTATATTTCTGGACACCGTCCCCACAGAGGTGCTGTACTTTCAGCTGGCCTCCTGGGATGCAACTCCGCCCTCCCTGGCTACTGCTGAGTTCCCGGCCTCCAAGCCTCCAAGCACAGCCCTCACAGTTCTATGCACAGGATGCTAACAACACTCAGTTGCCTGCCTACCTCTCTCAACTGTGTGAGTGCCAGCCAGTTCCCTGCCTTCAGACTCCTCCTTCTGTGGAGAGTCAGGACGTTTGCCACAACTACATCTGAACTCTCCCAGGGACTCTTTTATGACCCAGTTGGCCACAGAATTGGGAAGGCTCCTGAGTTTGTGTAGCTTAGCCAGCCTGTGGCCAGCAAGTGAGGTACCAACTTCCCTTTCTGAAAAACAAATAGAAATCCAATAGGTCTTCAGAAGCCCTTCTTCATTTTTCTTAATGACTATAGCGGGATTTGCAGGAAGAGGAAGGAGAAGAGCTATGGTGCTATCTCTACTGCTACACAAAGAATCTTTCTTCTCTCCTTCCTGTAGAGGACCACCTCGATGCAGTGACACCACACTGTCAGCTGAAATTCAGCTTCAAGAAAAGCTGTGACATTTCAGAGTATGATGATTACACATTAAAACTGAAGCAATGACCCCAAAACACTAAATACTGCCCCAATCTGTGATATGCAGATTATTCTTTTTCCTCTCTCTCTCTCTCTCTCTCTCTCTCTCTCTCTCTCTCTCTCTCTCTTTCTCTGCATATTGCAGAGGTGATTTCAGGACTCCAACCTAGCCAAGCTCACAGCACTCATATATTTTCACCTTTATCTCAGTCCCTGAGACCTCATCCCTGAGCCACTCTTCTATTTGTGAATTAATAAAACCTGGCTGTGGCCCTGGTTCAAGGTCTTTGTTCCTAATAGCCATTATTCTGACTGGGCTTAGGACCCTCTGGGCTCCCTACCATTTTAGACATATATTTGTGTCTTTTTTTCACCATGGAATTAGATTGATTGGAATTAACTTATTGGAATTACAATAACTTTCTCTTGGGATTACAAATATAAACTTTGTATGATGAAGTTCAGGAAGGGATTTCTGTACGTCCTATGCATACAGTAGGTAAGTGCTCTTAGACCTATGTTGCACTCCGCCTCTTCTGGTAGGATTCAAAGTGGTTATGGTTGGTCTATTTCTCTAGAATGTGAAAGTATACTTACCGCTCATTATCCACAAGGAAAAATAAAACAGAGGAGTCTTGTTCTACTTTTATTACATTCTTCTAGCTTCATAAACTTGGAGCATGTCCTATAGGCCACATATTGACCCACATGTCAGAATTGCAACCATGAACAAAACTCTCAAAGGGTCAGAGATCCTGGTAGAATTCATCAAAATGGATGAATTAATGGAAAACAGTGGTTGAGTAGCATTTCTGGAGCTTGGATGCCTGACTTGGAATTCTGACTTAGTCGTTAACCATCTGACTTTCAAGAAGTTGCTTTAACTCTCTGCACTTGTATTTCTGTATCTGCAAAACAGAGATGATCATATTAGCTGAGAACTGGGATAATCTGACAAATTCAATAAGTGCCCCGGATGGGAGCCCAGCCCACAGCAGAGCTCTTGCTGATTCGTCAGCTTCTGCTCTCCTTTGGCCTTCACGTTCCCTCTTGCAGGCTCCTCCTTTGCATATGGCTCTGCTTGTGGTGATCTTCTAGTTCATGTTCATGTCGTTGCAGCACCCAGCTTAACACACACTTATATATGTCCCCTGAGGACCTTTCCCTTTCATTTGCCAAGAATGCTTGCTACGATTCCGGGATTCAGTGTTTCATATCCTACTGCTGTGATTTGAGTGCATCCCCTATAATTCACATGTTGGAAATTTAATTCTTCAGTGCAGTAGTGTTGGGAAGTCAGACCCTTGGAAGTGATAAGTCATAGGCATGGAGCACCCCTGGATAAATAGTGCCTTTCCTTCTGAAATAGGTTAGCTAGTGGAATCTGGCTAGTAGAGTTCTCTTCTGTACGCGCCACTTGCCCTTCCACTTTCCTCCGTAAGTTAAAGTAGCACAGTGCTCTCACCAGCTGTGGCTTTCAAAACTGTGACATAAAACAGACCAATTTAATAAATGACCTAGTGCCATGTATCTGCAATAGCAACAGAGAAAAGACTCAGGCAACCACTTTTCCTTGGCTGTTTCCTTGTGGGTACATTTCAAATGCACATTTCACTCTTTGCAGGCTCCATTCTTAGAACATAAGGAACACGTCTCATCAGGCCACGTGCTCCCTCAGAGCACTCAGATGGCATTCCAAACAGTACCCCTCACATTGTTCCCACTCTTCCCCAGGAAATAAATCTAGGCATAAAACAAACAAAATTTAGCATAGTTAGATTTCTAGAAGCTGTCCTGCTATTAAGAAGAACATTTCAGCATTGCCTGACTTCTATAGCGGTTTCCTAAATTGTGACTGTAAGGCAGTAGCAGGATGATACTTTTCCTGAACTGAGATTTGAGTCAGGCCTTCAAAGCTGAGAACTACATATAATACACACACATATATATGCATATATACATAAATATATATACATGATAGGTAACTATATTACTTATCTCTGTTCATCAAAAGGAAGTGTGTGCTTTTGTTGTTTGTTTGATCATTTTTTTCATGCCTAAATCTTGTAACCTGAACAATTACTTCTAAGATAACAATATGCAATTTATTAACAAGTGTTAGTTTCCTATGTTCTTGAAATTCTGTATCATTTCTATCCTTTTTTCTGTTTTGCTTTTTAAAATAAAAAAAAGCTGAGAACTATCTTAAATAGAGCGCTAGATCATGTCTGTGGGGCCAGCAAAGAGGGTAAGGAGTCCAAAACCCATTCTACCTCCCACCTTAAGGGTTTAAAAGAGAAGTCGAGGGATTTAAAAGAGAAGTCTTGTGGCAAAGATCAGTTTGAGGATTGGGTAAAATCAGGATCCTCACCACCTTCACTCTCTAACCTGGTATGGGAGCAGGGAAAGGAATCTGTTCCCTTCTAACTTCACAGTGACTAGGGCTTCAGAGACCATTCAGCGATTTTTATCTGTGTGGCTCAGAAATGGATAGGTACAGATCTACTCTAAAATCTGCTCTCCATTTGTAAAGCCCCTCAGAATAATTGTGGTTGGAACTACCCTTATAAACAGCAGTAAGAGACAGAGTTTGAGAGGCAAAGGTACTGTTATGGTTTATATCTAGAAATCCCCCGAGAGACTCATGCACTCATAGGCAGGGGTTTGGAAGAGGACTGAACCATGGGGTTGATATAACTGACTTACTTTTAGGAGTGGGGCCTCGTTGGAGGAAGCTTGTCAGCTGGGGAGTGGCCTGAAGACTCCATCTCCCTCTCCAGCTCCTCCTTTCTCTCTGTTTCCTGGCTGCTGTGAGGAGAGCAGCTTTCCTCCATCCAGGTCTTGTTGCCATGCTGTTGCTGTTTTAAACCTGCCAAACATGAACTGAAACTTCTGGACTGTGAGCCAAAATGAATCTCTCCTCCTTTACATTGCAGATGTCAAATATTCTGTGCCAGGAGTGAGAAGAGTGGCTAAGACAAGTGCCCAACATGGATTGTACCAGGGTTGGCAGAGAGAAGGCAGAGAGCCAGAGAGACTTTGTTAGTCAGCCTTCCACTCCCGTGATAAAATATCTGAGAAAAACAATTTGCAAGAAGGAATGTTTATTTTGGCCCATGGTTTCACAGGTGTTAGTCTGTGATTGGGTGCCTCTTGCTTTGGGCCTGAGATAGAACACTAGGAACATGTGGTGGAGGAAACTGCTCACACCACGATGGTTAGGAAGCAGAGAGATAGACAAAGAAAGGGCTCAGGATCCCTGTATCCCCTTCTAAGGTCCCCAGTGACCTAACTTTCTCTCCCTAGCCCTGCCTCCCAAATGTCCCATCATATCCCAGTAGCACCACAGGCTTTGGCCCAACCCTCTAATGCCTGGCCTTTGGGAGACATTTAGTATCCAAACTGCAGTACTTACCACTTTAAAAGTAGAGGATGGAGATTCTCATGATGTTAAATGAAATGTCAAGGGTCCACTCCAAAGCACCCACAAAAGTGCCGCGCATGAGAAAGACTCATCCTGACACCCAGCTGTAATGGTGACAAGCCGAATGGGCCCATTCTTGCATCTTCCTGATCTTCCTCTCACCTTCTGTAGCTCCTAACACAAGTTTAAAAGCCAGCAGTGCCATACACGCTCTTATGGCACTGCTGGCTCCTAAACTTGTATTAGGCCCAACCTAGTGAGCAGGAAGGAGGGTAAATTATATGACAAATTTGAGTTTGGGATTGAACTGGACATGTTTAGTATGTGATAAATGAGGCTATTTGTTATTTCCACAGGGCCTGCCTGGATTTCATCTAGAAGCCAAGAAGCACCGTTCAGCTTAGCACAGGGAAAGAAAATAATTGCTCTGCTTCTTCTTTATTGAGTCCAACTCATTTAATGAAACAATGACTCAGTAATAAGAAATCGGGGCTTGAAACCTCTCTCTGGATGGTCTGAGACATGCAATACGATTTGAGTGTAGCACTGGGAGCAAGATTTGTTCACTGAGAAGTCCTTATACATTGAGAACCCAGCCTTAGAGAGACGGCCTTTTAATTATTCCTTCTTTTAGCTTCGCCCTCTGTGCTTTGGCTATCTATCATCATGAAAAATAGATTCCAAAAGACCAGCTGAATTCCTCTGCCACTTTTAGCAAAGAACTGAGCACATGGACGTGATAAACATAGGAATTATTTGGCAAAGACTGAAGCCAAGGAGTGAGAAGGTAACAGCCACATCAGGCTAGAGATGGACCCCACCACAGGGAGAACCCTGTGCATTCATTCAGCTCTTCCAGAAGGGCAGGGGCAGGTGGGCAAAGCTCAGGGACGGGCTCTGGTACACCCTGAAAGGCTGGAGTAAGCAGAGGAGGAAGGGAGAAAGAAGAGCGGTGGGGACCTAGCCAGCTAAGTATCTGCAAACTACAGAAGCACTCTGGTATAGAGCTGCCAGACCTAGCCCCCAACCAAAACAAAACCAAGACCCTCGTCCTTGACTGCTTTCCTTCAGAGGATCTGGTAGATGAGGGGAGACAGAGCACTATTTGTAGCATTTGCTACTGTGGCAAGTAGAGTCACCAACCATTAAAGGAAAAAAGTAAAACTGTGTAGAAACATATATTCTCTATATGAATCTGAGAGAGGGCAACCTTCAGTGATAGCAAGATGGATCAATTATTGTCACCCAGAAACTAAATCACAGTGAAGAAATATTGTGTACTTTGGTAATAGAAAGGATGCCAGAGATAGCAAATTTATATTACTTGCTTTAAAGAAATATGGCTTGGATATGACAATGAAAAGCATATTAAAAAGTAGAGGCATCCAGCCTTTAATTTAATTTCGAGTCAAGTAATCAGGGTGAATTTATTCCTCTTGCAACACATAATTTTAACCTTTTATTATGCAAAACTGACAATTCAGTTTAAATTGCATGGGTATGTTTGTTCAGCATGATTGATTTTAATGATATTTACCATTTACTGGATCTCCTAAAAGGTGGAACATCTTGAAAATTTCTCACAAGTCACTTCAAATCTGTTTCAGATCCTTCCTGGCCACTGAGAGCCCACAGAGGTTTTTGAAAAACAGAGCCAAGTGCTGCATTGGTAGCAGTGTTAGACGGGAGCTTTTCACATCAACAAATTCTTAACATAGAGGAAGTTCTTGTTACTTCAGGGGCTCCCACTGCGGGCACCTCCAGCTCCCATCGTGTAATGCCAGCACCAGGACATGTTATAGGGAAAAGTACAACTGTCCTCCCCCTGCCAGCATTTCAGTTCTGAGGTGCTGAACGATGGAGCAGAAAGTAGCTCCTACTCCTGCTCTCCCTTCCCACCCTCATCTCCAATTAGCCTTCAAAATTCTGAAGAGTGATGCTGCACATATTGTAAGATAGCAGGTAACAGCGCACATGTGAACATCACCGCTCACAGGACACCACAGGAGTCCAGAGAGAACTGAAATACATGATGAGGATACAGAGATAAACCAGGAGCTCAGATGGAGGAAGTCATTTGCTTACCATCAGCTGGACAGGCCAGACAGGTGTCCCAGAAACCTGAACCTCAAAAATTAAATCTTCATTGAGTAAATCATGTGGTTTTTATGATCAGGCTACAAAAGGTAATAGTTTACTGTGCACAGGGACTTTTCTTTGTTTTCTCAGCCTTCTGTCCCACTGTGGCTCTCTCTGATTGTCTCACAGGACTTCCACATACATTGTAGGCCTGATACCCGCAGGTGTCCAGGGGTTCCCTGGGCCAGCAGCGTCCAGCATCGTGAATACCAGATCCATTTCTAGCCAGACAGTAATTCTGAATGCGTGCAGTAGATTCACACATATTATTCCATAGATCTTAACATCCACAGTCCAGGTTTGGTTTCGTTTTTAATTGGATTTTCTTAAATCAAAGTACATATTAATTTGTGTTGCCATCAATATCTTAAAGTTCAAGTTCCTGCTTAAAAAAAAAACTGTGATTGTACCAGAGATTTTTCTCACTAGCTCTGCACAGTCTCCAAAGCCACCATTTAAATAGATGTCTCTACTGATTTCCCTTTTCCTGGCACACTTACATCGGGACTCCTAACACATCCTCACACTCTTTCCTTTTCTCAGACCCCAGACATTCTGCAGAACAGAAGTCTTCAAGGTTAGAAGAATCTGTCTTTCCAGAGATATCATGTGCAAATACCAGCAAGAAGGTCTTTCTGGGTTCTCCATAGATGCAGGCATACGATGAAGATATACATATGCGTATTGTCATGGTTTATGTCGGTGTCCCCCAGGCCTCATGCATTTGCATTATGTATTTGTCATTGGTTCATTGTCTAGCGCTTAGATTGACGGTGTCAGTGCTACACTCACATAAGGATAGAGCCAGAATACAATGCAGTGGCAGGAATAAGGTATATCTTTCGCTTTCTTGCTAGTTTCTGCCTTGCTGTTTGCAGCCACCATGAACTGTAGTCCTACCATGCCTCCCTGCCTTGAGCCAACTGAGTATGGACTAAAACCTCCAAAAACTGCAAGAAATAAACCTTTCCTTTCCCAACTTTGGACATCAGGTATTTTGTCTCAGCGACCAGAAAAAATAACTAAGACACATATTATTAACACTAAAAACAATAATAATTAACTTACATTGAGCTCAGGGAGAGTGTAAGATCATTGCTCCCAGCGGTGAAGGAACTAGGCTTGAACCAGTCAAGGAACACTCAGCTGGGCTCTGCAGGTTCTGGGCCTAACTGGGAACATCTCTGAATCCAGGGAACTGGGTTGCAGGAGGTGAGAGTCTGTGCACCATCTGAGTCCCAGGAGAGTTTAAGATCATCACTCCCAGTGGTCAAGGAACCACCCAACTTCCATCCACTCTCCACTGGGCTCTGCAGTTTCCGGGCCTGCCTGGACCACCCTCAGTGATCCTCTATCAATCCTGGAAACTGGGCGACTAGAGGTGAGTGTCTGCGCACCATCCCAAGCTCCAGGAGAACTTAAGATCATTGCCCCCAGTGGTTAAGGACCTGCCCAGCTTCCAGGCACTTAGACTAGACTAGGTTGGTTTTTGTGGGAGGACTAGATTATGCCTAGGAACCTTCTTCAATCAGGGAAGTTGAGGGATGTGAAGTGATTTCCACAGCATTGGACCTAGCCTGCGGAGCACTTTGGACCATCATCCACAGTGGTTAGTGGTTAGGTTAGTGGTTTCAGCTTCCTGGAACACTGGAGGTGACACAGGAGGTACTCTGGGCCTGACTGGACCACACTCAGCAACTCTATTAAGTCCCAGGAGCTGAGGGCATAGAAGATGATTTCCAACAGGCCCAGGGAAAGCCCTGGAACAACACTTGAAACTTGAAACACAAATGACAAAACTAAAGACCAAAATGCAACCTCAGACTTCCAGCCCATCCTAAGAAAGCTTAGGAGCTATGTACATAGAAGAAAATATATGCCATACACCTGAAATACATGCAATAATAGCAACTGAAATAAAGAAGCAACTCCAAGAAGCTTTAAAGGAATTAAAATTAGAAATAATCTCCCAGGTAAAAGAAGAAATGATAAAAGTAATGAAAGAGATGCTGAACACATCCAAAGAAGACACAGTTTAAAAATTAAAGGAACAAAACAAAAAGATAGAATCCCTGGATGAACAATATAAGAAACAAACAATACAAGAAGCAGATTCAAACAGATATACAGGAAATCAAAAATTTCATTGAAAGTTGTCAAAATTGCCTCAGTGAAAGTGAAGATAGAATTTCAGACCTCGAAGACAAGATTGCAGGTAGTGAATAGGAAGGGAAAGATCTTTTAAAAATAACAAGAAATCAGGAAATAACAATTCAACAGCTGCAAGATGATGCAAAGAAAACAACACAAGATTGATAGGGATAAGTGAAAAAGAAGGGGACAACACAAATGATATCAAGAGGCTATTTACAGAAGTAATAGCTGAAAATTTCCCAAACACGAGAATGGAAATGACATTAGGATTAGTGAAGCATATAGAACTCCAAACAGCCATAACTACACCCAGACATGTAATAATCACCATTCCAGATATCTAACATAAGAATAGAATATTAAAAGCTGTTAGAGAGAAAAGACGGATCACCTATAAAGGAAAACCTATCAGAAACACAGCAGACTTCTCAGCACAAACAGAGATGTCAAGAAGAGCATAGAGTCAAGTATTTCAGATCCTAAAGGAAAATGATTTCCAACCTACACTGATGTACTCTAAACTGTCCTTCAAAATGGATGGAGAAATAAGATACTTCCATGACAAAGAACAGCTGAAGAACTTCATGATCACCAAGCCAATCCTGCAAAGAATACTGAAAGACAGTTTAGATACACTTAGGAAAAAACCACTAAACAAAGTAGACAATTAAACAGAATGGAAAGCTTAAGATGCAACAGAAGAAAGATAACATGTCAAAAATAAATCAATATATAACAGTTATAACCACTAATGTAAATGGTCTCAATTCACCAATTAAAAGAAACAGACTGGCAGAATGGATCAAGAAACAACATCCAACCATAGGCTGTCTACAAGAAACCCATCTAACCCAAAAGGAAACTCACAGACTGAAAGTCAAAGGATGGAAAACAATACTTTATGCAACAGGAACCAAAAAAAAAAAAAAGTGGGGGTAGCTTTTATGTTTGCAGACAATGTGAACATCAAACCAAGAATGATCAGAAGAGATAAAGAAGGTCATTACATACTGGTTAGGGGAAAACTTCAAGAGGAAGAGATAACAATCTTAAATAAATATGCACCAAATTCCAGAGCATACAGTTATACAAAACAAGTATTAATAGAAATGAAAAATCAAATAAGCAATAACACAATTGTAAAAGGAGACCTTAACACACCATTGACACTAAGGGACAGATCAACCAGACAGAAAATTAGCAAAGAAATAACAGAACTGAATCACACCTATGAATAAATGGACTTGATAGACGTATACAGAGTGTTCCATCCAACAACATCAGATTATACATTCTTCTCAGCAGTACATGGGACATTCTCTAAAATAGACCATATAATAGCCCATAGAATATATTTAAATAATGCAAAAGAGTTGAAATTATCCCATGCATGTTATCCGATCATAGCACCATGACACTAGAAATTAACGATAAAAGAAACTGCAAAAATCCCACAAATACATGGAAATTGAATAACACACTCTTGAGCAATCAGTGAGTAACAGGGAAAATTAAAGAAGAAATTAAACAATAGCTACAAGCAAATGAAAATACAAATACAACTTACCAGAATCTGTGGGATGCAATGAAAGTGATCCTCAGAGGAAAATTTATTGCACTGAGTTTCCACATCAGGAAAACAGAAAGAATCCAAATAAATAACCTGATGCCATACCTCAAACATCTAGAAAAAGAAGGCCAGTCAAGCCAAAAGAAGGGAGGAAATTATAAAAATCAGAGCAGAAATTACTGCAATAGAGACTAAGAAAACAATCAATGAATCAAAGAATTGGTTCTTTGAAAGAATAAATAAAATTAATAAGCCCCTAGCCAACCTTATTTTAAAAAGGGAAGAAAAAGCTCAAATTCATGTAATAAGGAATGAAAAAGGCAAAATCACTACAGTCTCTGTAGAAATACAGAAGATCATCAACACCTATTTCAAAAACCTCTACTTTCATAGGTTCAATAACATAGAAGAAATGGACAGATTCCTAGAAACATATGAACTACCAAAGCTGGGTCAAGAAGATGTAAAACTGCTGAATAACCCAATTTGTATTAATTAAATTGAAAATGTAAGTAAGTCCTTACTACAGAAAACAGTCCAAGCCCAGATGGATTCACTGCGGAATTCTACAAGAAATACAAAGAAGACTTAATGCCGACACTCCTCAAACTCTTCAATGAAATTGAAAGGGAAGCAATCCTTCCCAAGTCATTCCTAGAAGCAAATATTACTCTAGTACCAAAACCTGAGAAATACCCAATTATAAAAGAGAACTACAGGCCAATCTCCCTAATGAACACAGATGCAAAAATCCTCAATAAAATATTGGCAAACAGGTTGCAGCAAATCATCAAGAAGATTATATACCACGACCTAGTGGATTCATCTCAGGCATGTAGGGATAGTTCAACATATGTAAATCAATAAATGTAACCCACCATATCAATAAAGCCAAACGTAAAAATTACATGATCATTTCTATAGATGCAGAGAAAGCTTTTGATAAGGTCCAACATTCATTCATGATAAGAACCTTACAGAAAATTGGAATAGATGGTCTTTACCTCAAAATGATAAAGGCCATGTATGACAAATCAACAGTCAGCATCATACTAAATGGCCAAAAACTGAATGCTTTTACCTTGAAATCAGGCACAAGACAAGGATGTTCCTTATCACCACTCCTGTTCAACTTAGTACTGGAAATACTAGGCAGAGCAATTAGACAAGAGAGAGAAATAAAAGAGGAAAGATAGGAAAAGAGGAAGTTAAATTATCATAATTTGCAGATGACTTGATTTTCTACATAGAAGACCCCCAAAATGCCATTGAAAGATTCATAGATATAATAAATAAATTCAGCAATGTAGCTGGATACAAAATCAATACTCAAAAATCAATAGCATTTCTATACACTACCAACAAAATCACTGAGAGAGAAATAAGTGAAGCCATACCCCTCACATTAGCAACCAAAACAGTGAAATACTGAGGAATTAATCCCGTGAAAGAAGTAAAAGATCTATACAGGGAAAATTATAATACCCTGAAAAAGACATTGAAGAGGATCTCAGAAAATGGAAAGACATCCCTTGGTCATGGATAGGAAGAATAAATATTGTGAAAATGGCCGTTCTCCCAAAACTGTTATACAGATTTGATGCAATCCCAATCAAAATACCATCAACATACCTCATAGATCTAGAGAAATCACTTCTAAAATTTATCTGGAGCGAGCAGAGACCCAGAAAAACAGACAATTCTAAGCAGCAAAGGCAAGGCAGGAAATATCACAATCCCTGACTTGAAGTTATACTACAAAGCAACTGTAGTAAAATCAACATGATGCTGGAATAAAAACAGAGCCAAAGATCAATGGAATAGATTAGAAGATACAACCACAACTACAAACACACTCAACCACCTTATCTTTGAAATAGGGGCCAAACATGTTCACTGGAAGAACGACAGTCTCTTTAATAAATGGTGTTGGAAAAACTGGCTCTCCGTATGCTGAAGACTAAAATTAGACCCATGTTTATCACCCTGTACTAAACTAAAATCTAAATGGATCAAAGATCTGAATATTAAAACAGAAACACTAAATCTGTTGGAAGACAAGTTGGGTAAAAACCTTGAAGACATAGGAGTAGGTAGAGAATTCATGAACAAGAATCAAACTGCATGGGAAATACTTCCCAGAATCAATAACTGGATCACTTCTTATTAAAAAGTTTCTGCATGTCAAAAGAAATTCCCAGCATAGTGAAAAGAAAACCCACAAACTGGGAAAAAGTCTTAGTGAACTGTCCCTCAGACAAAGGACTTCTGTCTAAAACATATAAAGAATTTTTAAAAATCAGA